TCAGCAAGAGTGAACAAGATCTCATCTTAATCTGTTTCATTATTTCTCCTTGTATAGCACAGTCAACACAAGATTAGGTTTAATTTACAAAAAAATGCAAAGTCATTACTCATATCTGGATCAGGATTTTATCTGCTTCGTTTTGCAATGCTTCACGTGTCAATATTAACAAGAGGACCTGCATGTGTGGTGAGGTGGAAATGGTACTGCTTGACTTCAGGACCTTTTGGAAGGACTGCAGGTAGCAGAGCTCTGATGTCCTCCTTCCTCTACCCCCATCTCCTGCCCTTCCTCGAGAAGCTTTGTGCTCAGAAGAACTAGCCTCTCCCCACAGGGCAGTGGGCCACGGTGCTCTTAGCTCTCATCTCGTAGCTCCTTATGCAGTGACAACCCTGGGCATGCATGTGGAAAAGAGCTGTGGGAACCCAAAAGGAAATGTTGTGGGGTCTGTGGCAGCACCAGCCAGAGGTGGGTCTGGTTTGATGCCAGGTGAGAGGCTGTGCCAGTTCCCTCTGGCCGTCTGTGGACATCCCAGCCCTGGGAGCACAGGAAGGCCACGTTGGTGGTTTCTGGAATGCTCTGCATGGCTGTGGACACGTGCGTGTGCCTGGGGCTTTACTTACCTCTGTGCAATTCAATGCCCTTAGCTGAGAGTGCTCATGCAACCCCTCCCACTAACCAGGCTCCCCTTGTCCCCTGTCCCCGCCAGGTAGCTGGCTCAGAGACATTCACAGCATGTTCCCTTTCCCCTGGTTCTTCTGAACATGGCACCCACATCTGCAACACGCTCGGCGGGAGGCATCTCGCTGCCAAAGCCAGCTCCCCTCCTGGGTTGGAGCTGAGCTCCTGTTCCTGCTGCAGTTGGTGTGTTCCCCCACAACCCATCAGCCCAGCAAGAACCCTTATGACTTTATTGTGGCCCCTCTGGGAGCACTGACCGTGCTGTGGTTATGGGTCTGCACAGACACCAGCCCCAGAGGAGTTGCTCTAAGGGAGGTTAGCCAAGGGCGTGTGGTATCGCTGGGGCTCTTGCTTTGCTGGGAGAGCTGCCGAACTTTGCACGTGAGGCGGGTGGCAGAGTGGCTGTGTGCTCCTGGGGACAGCGTAGACGGGGATGGAGACAGTCCTATGGCTCTGGGTGTGGTTCTCGTGGGCTGGATTAAGGTAAGAAGATACTGTGCAAGGAAAGGAGTGTTCCTGATTTGAGCAATACTCAATAAATCAGTGCCCTAGGACAATGTTGGGTGAGTTGTGCTGCTTCCAGTCAAATTGCTCTCTGTTCAGGAAAGCTTTCACTGCTCTCTGATTAGCACGTTACAGTTGAGAAGGCTGCCTGCATCCAAAACAAGTGTGCTGTGGGTGTCTGTTGCCCAAGAGGCAACCGTGCTGCCAGAATGCATGGGGTGTCCCCGATGGCAGGGGCAAGCATTAGGGTCTGTATGGCAAAAGCTGCTCTGAAAAACAGGATGAGGAGAAAACACTAACTTGAGCCTAAGCTGCAGCCGGAAGAAACATGGGGCAGCGGTAAGAAAAAAGCCCATAAGTGCAACCCTTGGAGTACGCTCACACCTCTTCTGCCCATCTCAGCATGGGCTCCCGCAGCTCCCCGGGCTCACAGCCTGCAGCCCGAGTGCCATCTGCTGTCACCGCGCTCCGCGGTGGTGCCCAGGGTCGTGGGAGGGCTCAGGCTCGCAGTCACGGCAGGGTTTTGGTGTTGCCCCGCACGCAGGGCTGCCTTCAGAGCGCTGGGCTTGGGGTGCTGCCCGGCTGCTGGGGCCCAGAGCTGCTGGGGAGATGGAGTAAAGGCAGTCGGGCATCTCTGCTGCAATATTTCTTTGCATGAGACAAAACTCTCTTCCCTGAAAAATAAGGCAGGCTGACTCCCAGCCCAGGAGCATGCTTGTGTGCATGCTTGGCTGTCTCTGGCTTTTCTGTTCCTGTGACATCTTTTCCTCGTGTGCCAATCTTGACCACGTCTATGCTGTTCTGGCTTGCCCACGTACCTTTGTTTTACATGCAGGCTGCTGTGTAAGGGGCTCAGCTCTCTCAGGCAGCAGTTACCCTTTCCAGCTTCCATCTGACTGCCCAGTTGAACTCGGGGTAACTGTTCTCTCTAACTCCAAAGCACCTCCCCCAGGAGGAAAACATCTAGGCTTTTTTATTTTTTCTCCCTAACAGATAAGGAGACTGAGAAGGACGGGGCAGTCACTGCCCCAAGGACACCAGGAGAAATGAGCTGGATGGAAGGAGAGGCAGGAATTGGGTTAGCTCAGTGCCAGTGCTCCTCACCCGTGGACTTTTGTTTTTCTCTGAGATATCTGTGTGGTGTGGGACAGCAGTGAGACGTGGGAATGGCCATGTCTGAGCTGCAAAGGGAGGTGTGTGCTCAGGGGATGTTTTTAACCTAGCCCAGTGTTTTCGTGTTTTTCAAAGGTTTTCTACTCCTGACAGGCTTGTGGGCCCAAATGAAAGGATAAGGCACTGGCTTTCCACCCCATTTGTAACCATCTGGGCTACAGCTTTAGGCTGGCAGTCCCTGCTGCAGGTGTGGCTGATTCTCTGCTATCCTGGCTTTCAGGAGGTGCCATTCCCAGCCCCTACAAGCCGTTTGATTTAGGAGGAATCAATCTCCTAAACCTTCTTCCCTTTTACAACAGACTAGAACAGCTGGGCTACAAGCAACAGGGAATTGTCAGATAGATTTTATTTTTTTTTCCCCTCTCCTATCCCCAGTCTTGAATGCCTGGTGGGGGAGTAAACTCCTCCATCTGTCCACAGACCCCCCAGGTGGGTAATAATAGATGCTTCATATAGAAAAAATTCAATTAGACTTGACAAGAGATGTATGCTAGTGCTTTCTTGCCAGAGCCCCATTTTGCTCTGTTCTGTTCCTCTGCAAGAGACTTGCTGTAGAAGCTATTATGAAAAAAAAAAAACCCAACAAAACAACACCAACCTTGTAAGTTTAGTGACATTTATAGCCAGGACTACCTGTGGTGGGCTTTGTAGAAAAGAAAACTACAGTGGGATCTCATACAACTGCAGCCACCAAGAGGCAAATGGCTACCCACGATGTCAGATGCCAGCTGCTGAGAGCAGGAAGGGGCGGGTGGAGTGTGGAGTGCTGTACCTAGGGCTTCCCTTAGTGCCTTCAAGTGTTAAAGCAGCCAGGGTAAGAGGTTTGTTCCTGCTGGTGTCTTGGCCAAGAGTGTAGTTTGCATCTTAAACTCTCTCTCCGGTTCTCAGCACCCAGCTGGGGTGTTTTGAGGGACGTTTCCATTCCCTGTGCAGCATAGCTCACTACTAAGCTCAGCAGCGGGCTGCCCCAGAGATGGCTGCAGTGAGATGTGGGATTGATGTGCAAAGGAAATAAGAGCCCTTTTTACAGCTCGTGTTGCCGCGTTCAGGACTGGGAGAAGCCCCTTTTGTGTGGTTTTAGTTTGTTTTTTTTCTTCAGCATGAATGCTCCAGCAACACTCAGTTTTTGTGTTTTAATTCTTGGATTTCTACTCTAAGTCTGGGTGATGAGAATATCTGTTATCAATTACTTGGGGGACAGACCTCTTCCTGTCTGTACAGCACACTCATCTGCATTGGTCATCAGTGTCCCCAAAAGCTACTGTGTAGTATCACACAGCTGCTTGCTGGTGTTGGCACAACGGAAAGCAGAAGGAACTCCCGTTGAAGCTGTGTGTGATGGAGCCCTTCGGTGGCTGGGAGCTTTAATACATCTAAACCCTTTTGTCACAGTTACACTGCCTTCCTGTAATCCTATGAAATTGCATCGTCTCAATTTCCATGAAGTCTGTAACATGTGAGAACCCATTAACCTTCTGCGCTCTGTTCATCTTTGACAGATGAGTTGACATCATCTTGGAACTGGTGTATGGTGCAGATTTCGATGTGTTCAGACTTCTGGTATTTGATCAAAATTCAAAAGGCATTTGGAACAAAATATTTATAATGTGAGCAAGACTTTTTTTTTCTTCCAAGTACCCAGGCACTGGCTTGCTTTGGGACTCTAGCACTGATGAGGCTGAATGCAAGGTGTAATCACTTCCCTGAGGCCAGCAGCGGCTTTTGCAAGCAGCTCTCTGGAACAGAGGGAGCTGTTCTCTGCAGTGATGCTGCAAGGCACGCAGCCTCTTGGAAAGCAGCCCTTAGAGGTGAGCGGGAAGGTCAGGACAGCCTTGCAGGATGCCCTCAAGAGCCGATGTGAACATCGGGCCTGCTGGCATGAGGAGTGCGGAGGGGGAAAGGCAGGCGGGTGCACTGGCGGTAGCAGAGCTGCTGGGGAAGCTGCGTGCATTTAGTAGTTCAGCCTAGATAAGGTTAGAGTGGGGACCATGGTCCTACCCTGTAACAAGGGACACAGTATCTGAAGGCTTAATCCTGGGGTTTATCCTGACTGTGAGATGATGCTTTAGGAAAGGTTCAGTTTAACAATTGCATCAAGATGTGTAATATTGATCCCCTTGCTGTACTGATTCCTTAGGGACAGACAGAGGCCTCACTTCTGTGGGGCAGAGTTGGCAGCGAGTTGAGTACTAACTAGCAACTTTGTCAGCTGCATTAAAGGCTGTGGTGAATACAGCAGCATTGTGTGACTGTGTGCAGGGGTAATGGAGGGGAAGGAGTTACATTCTGAACTGGTTCTGGTCTCTCCTGGGTCAGAACCAAGGCTGAGCTCACAGCAGAGCTGCAGTCACAGGTGACCTGGAAGGCATCTGCTGTGCGGGGCCCTTCCTGGAGCTCCCCTGTGTCTTGCATCAACTCCCGCTATGTTCTAAGCACACCTCTGCCTGCTGCTGCTCTGCAAACCCATTGCCCATCGGGTGCTTCTGACAGGCTCAGGCTGCTGGGTCAGGGAACAGAGCATGTACCTCTTTCTGTGAGACTCACGGTATTACACAACAGCTCCTGGGTGTTGGACAGGCCTGGCTGACATCTCCCCGCCTCACGCAGCGTGCTTAAGCACAAGGACACAAATACCCAGCACACAAGGGAAGATCCACACACAACTGTGTCATTTTATTATGTTTGCCTGGACTCTGCCTGGGCACAGCTGTGGTTTGGAAGGCTGCCGTGCCCCAAGCAAGCCCGACGAAGCAGAGCGTGCACAACGTGGCCAGCTCAGAAGCTCTCTCCTTTGGCTACAGGTAGTAGTAGACTGCACTTGCAATGGTGCACTTTGATGCAAAGTGGCATTCAAGTATGTATGTGCTGGCAGCCCAGGAAGGGAAGACAGATGGACACAAAAATGTAAGCGCCTGTCTCTCTACACAACACCAGCTCTATTGAGGAGAAGCTCTTCTGAGAGGACTAACTAGCGGGGACAGGCTTAGCTGAGGGAAGCTTAGGTGTCTTTGTTCAGGATAGTGGCTCGCAGCCCTGAGAGGTATCAAGAGGCACTAGTGGGAGTACACATGAAGAGCTGTCTTGTCAGTGAGCATATGGAGTGGAGGCAGACATGTCCTTTTTGCAGACACTGTTAGCAGGCAGGACGAACTGGGATCAAGTGGGGCTAAGCACAGCTTTCTCTGAATGTTATCTCCTGCCTGCAAGGAGTCATACTGGATGACCAGGGTGCTTGTTGCATGGAGCATGCAGAGGCCAGGAAGGGATAGAGGAGTTTGTTTTCATTTGTTCCTGGACCCCCTCCCCAATTTGCTTCTAACCCATTTCCCTACATCTTTGTCTCTCTCCCAGCAATTACTCTCAGTTGCCATCTGTCTGAGGGAGCCAAATGAAGCCCCAGGGCTGGACACCAGAGAGGTTTCAGTTCCCAATACTTTCCTTAATAAATGAATGCTGGGAAGAGTGTAAGAAAAAAAGAATTGCCCTATCACCTTGCATTATCACTAGAAATCAAACTAATAGCACTTGGCAGCCAAGGTAGGGGTCCTGTGTGGCCAGCAGTGACAACTATTGATTATGGATGGGAGATGCTAAGGGTCTCGCTGTGGGTCATGGAAGTGGTTGGTGACAGATGTGACAGGGCTCTGGGTTTCCCTGGTATTTTCTCAGATGTGAAGTCTATGCTTTTCTTTCTTCCTTTTTTTCCATTCTTTAACTTCCAGAAAATATAAAGTTAACTTAAAGTTAAGGGGTGCCCAGTTCTGGGAAGCAGGCAGGAGGGGTGTCTAGTTCGGCTGGGTGCTAGGGGTTGGTGGCTTAGGAGAGCAGTAAGGTCTGCAGGGCTTTCAGATGATCTCCTGTCTGACAGAGAACATCCGTGCAAGCGGCGAGGCTGAGTCCCGTGTGGTGCATTCACAAATCTATTCATGTTCTTTGCATAGTCCTCTTGAGGAAAGATGGATGCTGGCCCCTGGCGCCTTGCACGCACGTTCATATGCAGAAGGGTGTATGCTCTGCAGCCTGGCAGCAGCACCATGCAGAAACCATCCACCGGCCAGGGGATGCCCCGAGGGCAGTGGGCTCCATGCAGGCCCCAGCTGAGCACAGCTACGGCTCCACTGTCACGCTGCTGTTGGTAACACGGACGCCGTACCAGCCCTTCCAGAATAGCGTGTCCTGGCCACCGTGTTCAAAGCGGACAAAGCGGACCCCAGGCCCATAGTTGGAAAAGGTGTGGGAGATCTTTGGGACAAGAGACAAAATGGTTGTTGGTAAGTGTCAAACTACCATGAACCTTCTTTAGTGTACAGAGCCTTCCACCTCCCCTGCCCGAGCCATACCTACTAGCCTGGGTAACAATGAGGACATTTATAATACCAGTGGGAGTTACTAGGAGGAGCTTTGATCCCACTGTTGATCAGAGGCTACTGAACCTCTCCTTTATCTTACACCTGCAGTGGTGGCTCAGCAAGTTACTTTTATGTAAGGTAGTCTCCCAGTATAATCCCTTAGTTCAGTCACAGGCTCCACAGAACATGACAGCCACCTTCTCCAGAACCCTCCTGCTTCTCTCTGCTTGAAAATATTCCCGATTCATGCAGGTTGTGTGTCACCAGCTGAGCCCACAGCTTCAACTCACCTCAGTCCAGCTGGCATCATTGTCCTGTGGGATGGCAACAGTCTCACTCTTGTACTCAGCCAGAACATCCTCGTTCTCTGAGAGCAGCTTCACACAGAGCTCATAGAGGCAGCCGGCGTCACTGCGTCCTGCGTACCTGCACAGAGAGCCAAGCTGCTGGCCTTACCTGTGCCACCTCTGCAAAGAGCCAGAGCACACAGCTGTATCTTGCCAAATGCAGTTTCCACTGATTTCATCAAGTTACCGGGGCCTTGGCTTGAGGTGGAAATCTGTGATAGTTCTTACCTCGACCCACCACCTCCCCTCCACACCAGGAACCTGTTTTTTCGAGACCGTATGCACCAACAGTCTGAAGCTTGTGGGAGCTGCCTGTGGTGCTGTAAGCTAAAACCAAGCCCAGTCCCACATCTCGGGGATCCTGGCAGCTGAGGTTTTAATGCCCAGCACAGGTATATGCCCCTCCTTGCCCTCCCTTCTCCTTCTCGACTCTCTGTCTGCCTTCTGAAGCATCCTTGCTACTTACCAGTCTTTGACCACAACTTTAGGTTGGGTTGTATCCATCAGCTCTTCCCAGTAGCCCTCAGCCCTAAGGTCAATGACCTGAGCCTTGCGACACCACCTGAAATGCAAGACATTAATTGGTATCAGTCTCTCCTGGGACTGAGGGAACCAAAAATGTCCCCTTTCCTGAATAAGAGAAGAAAGCAGCCTTACTCATAAGATGTAACAAAGTATTTATAGACTTCTTCTCTAGGAAATTCTTTTCCAAAGTCCCCAGGGAGCTCTTCAATTTTCCAGCCATCACCTCCATTCTCTACCTCTCCCCAGTGCTGCAAGTCTTCTGCAAATGGCAGAAAAGAGACTCTGAGTCCTTGTTTCTGTGGGTCTGGGGAAGCTGACCATCTCCCCCTGGAACCCTCCCCTGGCTTGTGAAAGGTACACTCCTAGATGCAGCACTCATTTTGTATGTAGACTATGGAGATGTTTGTTAAGTAAAGGTTAGGCAAAAACCTTTAATCTGGCTGAACTTAAAATGTTTCCCACCAAAAGGGTTACGTACATGTGGGTTTGTTTAAGAAGGTACTCCAGTGAAATTATTTAGGTATTCTGAACTGTGTGTCAGCACTTTGAGTGTCATAACATGGGAGTAGCCCGGGGAGAGATGCTGATTGTTTCATGTCTACATTTCTGAAATTGCTAAATGGTATTTCTAGAAGCAGTATGGTCTTAAACACTGGGCTTTTCTGGTCTTAGCCAGAGGGAACCTGGGTGGTGGAAAAGCTTTCAGAAAAATAATCTGTAAACAAAATGGAGAAGCTGTGTGGATATTGCTTTGGTCTGTCATGTGTGAAATGTATTTGCTGCTGCTCCGGTTGTGAGGCTTGATTACTGCTGCTTTTTGCTAAGCATCTTGTAGATCTGGTAAGTGAAGTTCATAGATTATCAGAATAATGGCAAATGGGGTACGTGCACAGCTCTAACATGGGCTATAGTAAGGAGGGTACAAACAAGATTTGCCTAAGCTGCTTCAGGGAGGGGGAGCCTGAAGTGTCTGGTGAGCTAAGGGCAGACTGGCTCCTGAGTGGGGAAAGGCTTGATCTTTCCTGTCATGGTTTGGCAAGAAGCAATCTAGAAATGGAGATGCCGCTACCATTACTGCACTGGACAGGTTCTGCAAAGGACATTTTTGTGTCTCAAATGTGATCTGGACCCCTGAGGGGCTTATATAAAATTGATGTCAAGTAGAGCCCTTTGCAAAGGGCCTCATGCCCGTTAAATGATTTGACAGCATGCATTAAGTGATTTGAATCTTGGGCAAGAAGAAAGTGCTGCAACCTGATAGCCACTAAGATCTTTTTTCAAAAACTGGAGAGGACAAATTTTCAGTGACTGGTCATCTGTGTGAAACCTTAGGGCTTGTTATGCTTGTCTCTCACCTTCACCACATGGGTTCTTGATGAGATTCTTCCTTTTCTTGCTCAGGAAGTAGAAGTTTTGCCAGTTCTCTGCATCCTCCTGTGACTCTGCTCCAGTGAGACCTTCCTGCTGACACTTCAGGATCCAAAGTGCAGCTCCATCAACCAGATTCTTCCACTGGCAGCAGACCAGGCGGCACGCCAGCACCAAATCCACCGCAGGTATGGAAGCCAGGATTCTGATCAGGACTGCTTCAGGGAGGGACTCCATCCTTGGGCCAGGCTGGATGCAGTTTGCTGAGAAAGAAGGGGGAAAGGAATGGTGACACGGTGGTCCTTAGGACACGGGGTCCCTCACCCTCAGCGATGTCAAACACTGATGTGTTAGAAAAAATGGAAAATGAGCATGTTATCTGAAAGCATGATTGTGGGGGTATAGATTGCTTCCTAACCTCAAGGCCTCCTGACCCCTGTTAAGTCAATACCCTGCAGCACGTGAGTAGATTAATATTTTATGTTCTAAGTGAAGCCCTTAGTTAAATCCATCCACAAAATGCAAGTAGCTGACATCTGCAATTGTGGACAGTTTGCCAGTTTCCCAGACTGGAATCAGTCCTTCCAGAAGTCTCTGCTGCTGCAAAATCAGCTTCTTAGTAATGACTTCCTCTGCAGAGGGAGGCATCTGGGTGTTTGTTCTGCCTTTAAGAGCATCACGGATACCAAATGCTGCAGAGCAGTCCCTAAATATCAGTGGCGAGTCTTGCCAACTGCATTTGCAGTGGTTCCTTCTATATCTGAAAAACTTTCCCTCCAGGGGCTGGCACTTAATGTCCTTAGTCACGAGCCTGTATAAAGTATAGGTCTGAGCATAACTGAAAATAATTCAGTTGATATTCCCTAATATTCCTTTTTCTATGGCCTTATAACCTGAGCTATTAAGTCAGAAGTGTGTGCTTTAACTTCATATGCTAATTCCGCACTCCAGCGCTCTGTTGTCCTGAGTTGTAGGGCCAGGACCTGCAGGAACAAGGAGAGATGAGTGTGCAGATTCGGAGCCGTGTCACCCCGGGGGCGTGCACTGTGACACTGCTTTTATCCCAGCTCGGCCCTGATGCCGGGAAGCTGCTGGGACTGCAGTGAACTTCACAGGCACAGCCAAACTCCTCGGGAGTCACTGAGCTGAGGAGAGCACCAGGACCAGAGCAGGTGAAATAGCCTGACATGCTGCCTGATGAAATGTGGCGGTGCCAAATCTGGCAAGGGAGGGGAGAAATGGGGAGTTGGTACTCAAACAGCACCCTAAATCTAGATGTTTCAGATGCAGAGCTGTCACGTGTCCTCTATCTGCACTGCAGGCAGCAGGAGGAAACCGTTATTTGAAATTCCCTGGCTTTTATGGGGGACATTGGGGATTTCCCCTTTGCCATCCCTCTTTCCAACCCTCAACCACAGTCCCTAAAGGGTAACATGTTTTTTTTTTTTCTTAAAAAAAGAAAGAAGATCGCTCCTGCTGTTTCATCTCCTGCAGGGATGTCCCAGGCCTCACCCGCTCCCCGCCCGCTGACGGAGCATCACCTCTCTCCTTGCTCAGCGGGGACGCTCCGGCCAGGGCTGACGGTCCCCGGCTGCCTCCCCTGCCCCCTCCGGTCCCGTCTGCCCCGCCCCGGCTCGCAGCTCTTTACAGCCGCTCCGCGGATCTCCCGCGGTCCTTCCATCCCCTGGGGCGCGCTCCGCTTCCCTACGCGCCCCTCTCCGCGCTGTGCGCCCCTCCCGCCAGGACCGGCCTTACCTGAGCGCCGCTCGCCGGGCCGGGCCGGGCCGGGCCGCGCTCCCTCTTAAAGC